GAAGATGCTTTGGTTCATGAGAATTATGAAATTCTTTAGTCTCCTCAACTAGTTCCTCAACATGCTATAGCAGCAGAATAATGCATGCGAACGTGGTGGTGAGGGCCTGTAACTGAGCTTAGTCTCTGGATCAGAGAAGGAACATTGGAGATTCATGGCTATGAAGCGCGGCAACTTGCTGATTATTTTGCTGGTGTGGGGTTAAAACGGCTATCTGCTGTCGATGCCAATCCTAGCCGATCTTAACCAGTATGAAATTGGTACGATGCGTGAGATGCGGAAGGAGTTTTTGGGAGACACACCAAGAAAAATTCATGATCTATATTTGGTTAGGTGAGGATCAGGACGGCTTCACGGCTGAAAGCTGGGCAACTCCATTATGATGGTGCGAGGCTCAAGAACCCTTGATCGTGCGGCAGAATGGCGTCTTTATTATCCGCCGAACTCTGTTACCGAGACTATGCAGGAAGGCGATACGCTATTTCTCGCGAAAGATAGAGGGGGTGTTCTCTGGTTCATTGTCACTCCGTCCGGATCAACCAGTGAGCAGCAACTATTCTGGTTATTTGGGGTTCATCCACGGGGCGTTCTTTCGTATCTCGGAGGTGTCGGGGAATGAACCACAACTCGATTTTGCTGCGCGTTTTATCCTTGATGAGTTGGGTATCGAGTTCGAGGAACCGGACGCTGATAAGATTGATAGTATCATCGAGAAGTTTGGAACGACATTTCCACCAACGGCTGAATTTTTCCCAGCTCGCACGTCTGACATTACCGCAGGTTTCGGCTGAAGATGATCCTGATGCAGCCTTGGTTGCGTGGCTTGACCATGAAGAGGCTAGTTCGCCGCCGAACGTCGGGTCGTTGCCGAACGACTAGAACAGGGTTCGTAACAGCTGGTGGAACGGATGTGGACGGGTTCATCAGCTTCTCCTTGGCGTTCAGAACCGGCGTAAATCGCGCATGGGACACTCTCTTGAGAACCACATAGCCGCTGTATTCGATAGCTTCAGGCTTCCATATGAGCGTGGAGCGAGAACTGAACACGGTCACAAACCGGACTTTCTCTTTCCAAATGCTGTTGTCTATGGGGATGCCTTGGTAGGCGATAATAGGCTTCTGATGTTGGGTGCAAGTCTACCTGTAAAGATCGCTGGCGGCAGGTGTTGGCCGAGGCAGCAAAGATTCCAAGCAAACACCTTTTGACGCTAGAACCTAGCATTACTGAATCCCAGACAAATCAGATGGCGGCAGTGAACCTTCAACTCGTTGTCCCTGCTTCTATCCAGAACACCTACAGTTCAAGACAGAAGATGTGGTTATGGTCTATGCGGCAGTTCATCAATGAGGTTCGGGCGCGTAATATTTGTGGATATTTTTGACTGCTAGCGGCAGGAGAGAGGGCAGGGGATGCACCACACATGACCCTGCCCCCGCCAAGCGGGAGGCTTACCTCAATCGTCATTCCGTCAAGATGCTGCATCTCGATCGTCGGTGATAGCCACGGATTCAACCTTCCGGCTTCCCTGAACGTCTTTCAGCCCATCCCGTATGACATTGTAAGCCTTGCTGGCGACCGACTTAGGGACAGGCGCACCAGCCTCGGCCAGCCGGGAAATCATACTGACAAGACGCTCCGCGTCAGACAAGTCCGCCACTTGTCTGACGGCATTGTCAGACGTATTTTCTCCCGGTTTTCTGACGCTTTTAACGTGTGAGCGAATGGCTCTGTCCAACCATTCCCCTATCGTGACACCCTCTCGTTTAGCCGCGGCAAGAGCGGCGTTTCTGACTTCGGGATGAACGCCGCGGATTGACCACGGTTTCGGATCGTCTGTCATGTCTGACTCCACTGTATGACTTGTCTGGCATGAGTGGAGCATGGGGAGCGTCTGTCTGTCATGTCTGACGTTTTTGTCGGACTTGTCAGACAGACTATGGTGGGGGGAACAGATCGGGTTGTGGGTTCTTCCTGAACTCAAAGCGAAGCCGTGAGACCTTTCGACCCGCCTTGATGGGCGTCCACTGGATAAGCCAGCCGTCTTTCTCGATCAGTTCTTTGACAGCGGGCTCGATGATGCGGCGACGGATATTGTTGAAATCGGCCTTCTGTTTCTCTGTGGCGTCCATCGAGGCGCAGAAATCCTCAATGGTATATTCGGCTATCCCACTGTCCCGATAGTGCATGAGCAGTTCCAAGAGCCGCCATGAGTAGGCTGATCGGAGAGCGTTGGCTTGTTGCAGCTTGTAGGTGGTGAACTGTTTTTTTAGCCCCATGAGTGATGGGAGAAGGTCAGGCCACCATGACAGTTCAACCCAACCTTCATTCTCATGGTATTTGCACCGGCCTACCCATCGCATGTCATTGCGGATGGGTTTGAGTGGCTTTCCGGCCCGTGTGTAGGCAGGCTCGAAAAAGGTGATTTTACGGTCGAACAGGTGCTTTGCCGCATCCTGTAGGGCTTCGTAGGCTGTCCTAGCATCAACGGAGAATGTTTCCGCATATTCGGCTGCCGTGATCTTGGTTCGTGGCACAAGTGATGTGGGGGTTGGTGTCGGTGCCCGGCTATCCAGTTTGGATACGGCCAGCATGACAATACGCTTCTCCGCCAGCGTCAGGCCGTGACCTGCTCTTACGAGAGCATTGCTCATCGTAACTTGGGGGTCATGCTTGGGAATTACGGCGTATGTTTTGCGGCTTACTGCCGTTTTTGCGCTCAATTCCGTCACCTTCCGGGTTAATCCGTCTATTAATTTTCATGACGGAAATATCAAAATCAGTCAATTTTATTTTGTGACGGATTAACCCGGAAGGTGACGGAATTGAGGTGTGAGTAAGGGGTTTTTGGCCTGTGGATGACACCCGGAAAATGACGGATTAACCCGGAAAATGACGGATTAAACCCGGAAAATGACGGATTAACTGCTTGTATCTATATGAAATAAAAGGGTTTTTTTCATATAAACAAGAAGAAACAAGAAAAGAAAGGAAGCGGGTGTGGGCAACTGCTGTGAACAACACCCGGAAAATGACGCATTTCATGCCGAGACTCTCTCAGAGTGTTGGCGCCTTCGGCGGGCTACGCCGCTCCCGCTCTGCGCTCGCCCGACACCTGCACTGTCAGAGGAACTGGGTGGGAAAAAATGCTCAGGAAACATGAAGCAGGCCGGACGATCTTGCTTGAAGCCGTGCAGGCTTGTGCCTTAATAAGAATTATTAAAATCAACTAAGGTGATGCCATGAGCGAGAAACTTTCAGCCGGGAAGCAGATGGTCAGCGTGCAGATGCCCGCTGACCTAGTGGATGCAATGGATCGGTATGGGGAATCCATCGAGCGGCCCAGGTCATGGGTGATGCGGGAAGCCGTGGCGTCCTACCTCGCCTATGAGGCGGAGAAAGACCGAGCGACACGCCGAGCCTTGGCCGATGTGGATGCGGGCCGGACGGTCAGCGCCGAGGCCGTCAAGGCATGGGCTGACAGTCTCGACCAAGCTAACCCGCTCCCTCTGCCGGAACCCAAGCAGTGAAATATGAATGGACAGTCAAGGCCGTATCTGACCTGCAAACATTGACCGCAGACTTTGACCATCCGAGCGCTGCCGCGCGCGTCATGCGGCGGCTGACGGCAGCACCGGACGTTCTGATCCAGTTTCCTCGGATGGGTACATTGCTCCCGGTCTTCTCACCCCGTGAGGTCAGGCGCTTCATCGTGGACGACTATGAAATTCGTTATGAGGTCACAGCGGATGCCCTGTTCATCACCGACGTTTTCCATACCCGGCAGGATCGTGAGACGTTTCATTGAATGGTAGGCGCTACCCAGAAGTCTTGAAATATCTATCAAACTAGCCCGTAAATGGCTCAGGAATGGTGTGCGTGGGTGTTCTGGTGGTTTTCTAGCTGGAAACAGTCATGGGCGTGCTAGTGGCCATTCTAGGCCATTCCCAGAAGTTGATACGCACCACGTTCCTTTCTGGTCAGTTCTGACCTTGTAGCCCTCAATTCGACACATGCCGAAGGCCTGAATCTGGCCTACCCTGTCCATTTCGTAGGCTAGGTGGCCCGATGGTGACGATACGGCCCATTCTGCCAGTGCAGCGCGATGCTTGGCTTCTTGCTGCCCTTCAGCGAACCCTTGAGCGTATCCGGTTCGACTGCCCTTGATGTCCCCTAGAAAGGCCGCGCAGAACACGAGCGCTATGGCTCCAAACCCGCAGGTGATGAGCAAGGTGCGTCTGTCGGTTTTGATGTAGCTGGTGACGGCCTGGGCTGCGTCCTCAACACGTTGCGCGGCTTTGGTGCTTTTGGCGTCCAGTGCCTCAAGTTGCTTCACCAGGGCTGGCAGTTTACCGGCAACGTCTGAATAGGCTTTATTCGACTTCTGGACGGTGTTCTTCAAATCCTCGAACGCACGAAGTCCTAGAAGGTCCGTGTCGTCTGGATCACTCATGGTCAGCCCTCATTCTGCGCTTGTGCTGGTCGAGGTGTGCTGAACCCATGATCTTGAAAAGCCTTTGTGTCCTGCTCACGAGATAACCGCTTGAGAAGGGCGTCAATCACGTTCGAGAAGCGTTCATCACTTTCCGCTGCTTTGAGTAACGCACCACCCAATATGATTTTCTGACGGTCTTCAATTTTCCGCTTCTGCCGGTTCTCAGCATTACGGGCATCTTTCAGAGCGTTCCGTGCCTGCTCAAGCCTCTTTTCGGCATCAAGAACTCTTTGGGACTTGGCGGGCTGGCTTGTGCTGGTCATGTGGACGAAACTCCTCTTGAGTGTAGCCATATCACAAATTGAAGTTGCTTTGGAACCCTTCATACCGATAGGTATTAAGGGCGCACTTATGCAAACTCTCAGAGTTTGCGTGCGACAGGGGCAAACCCCTTGCAACCCCATTGTATCAGCGAGCCGATCCCTTGGCGATCTTCCACCTGTCCGTTAAGACCGTATCACGTAGCACCGGCAGGAGTGCCGTTGCTGCTGCGGCTTATCGAGCAGGTGACACGCTGACCAACGAACGCGATGGACGCCAACACGACTACGCCAACCGAACCGGGGTTGATGAGAGTTTCATTATTGCCCCGTCTGGTTACGAGTGGGCACATAATCGCTCTGTGTTGTGGAACGCTGCCGAGCAGGCCGAGAAGCGTTCAAACTCAGTGACGGCCCGTGAATATGTGCTGGCCCTTCCTGCTGAACTGGATGCCAAAGACAGGGCAGACCTTGCACGGTCTTTTGCCTCTGCCGTGGTCGAGCGTTACGGGGTGGCTGCTGATGTTGCCCTTCATGCCCCCAGTGCCGGTGGTGATGACCGGAACTATCACGCCCATATCCTCACCACGACACGGGAGGTCGAGCCGGACGGTCTGGGCAAGAAAACCCGCATACTGGACGCCGCCAAGACGGGTGGGCCGGAGATCGAGAGCCTTCGGGAATTGTGGGCCATGCAGTGCAACGAAGCACTAGAGCGCCACCAGAAGTCCGCCCGCATTGACCACCGCAGCTATGAGCGGCAGGGCGTGGACGAAATGCCGACCATGCATCTTGGTCCGACCAGCACCACGATGGAGCGCAGGCACAAGGCCGAGCAGGAGCGGAAGGGGGAGCCATACAAGCCCCAGACGTTCAAGGCTCAGGAGAACGAGCGCAGACGCACCCTGAACGACCATGTGCGGGAGATGGTGCGTGAACTGGCCGCCACCGTCAGGGAGGTGGCCGAACAGGTCAAAAACGCCAAAAAGAGCGCCGCTCAAGCCCTTTTGCGGGCCGTTGGTGGTCTGCGGCAAGAGGAATTGGCGGAGCAGGCCAGACGGGCGGCAGAAGCCCGCAGACGCGAGGAGGAGCGCAAGGAAGTTTTGCGCCAGCAGGCACTCAGGGAGGCCAGAGAGCGGCTTGTGCGGGAAGCCAAGGAGCGTATGGCCGACATGGCAAAGAGGGCGCAGAGATTGGCCCCAGATGCCCGAGATAGGTTCCTTGCAGGTGAATATCCCTCAGATCCGTTTGACCGCGCACTGAAGGCTCATAGGCACCCTTTGGGCACCGCTGGACTGGATGCCGAGGAGAAGGCCGTCAGGGCGCACCTGAAGGTGCATCAGGAGCAGGAGAAGCGCCAGCAGGCCGAGAGGCAGCAGGCACCAGCGCGAGGCCGTGGGCGTGGTGGGCCGTCCCGCTCCCGGTCGAGGGATTACGATAACGGCCCTAGTTTTTGACTTAGACGTTTTTCTTTTGGGGTAGGAAAAATATCTGTTTCATCCTGGATGTCTGGGTTGACTTATGACATGTTGTCAAAAAATGACACGGTGGACCAATCATGAACATACATTCCAAGACCGAATTTGCAGAACTGATGGATCGAGTTGGTCTTGGTATTGATGAGGTGGCAGGATTGCTTGGAGTCAGTGATCGTTCGATCCGTCGTTATATTGAGGGAACTGGAAAGCGTGTCGATCCCCTCAAGCTCGATAAGCTCAGGCAGGTAGCGGGTCAGCGTTGTAAGCGTCCTGTTGGACACAGCGGTTTTCGTTTCATTGATCTTTTTGCGGGAATTGGTGGGCTACGGATGCCGTTTGAGGAGATAGGTGGACATTGTGTGTTTACGGCTGAATGGGATCGATTTAGCCGTGAAACATATAAGGCGAACTTTCCTGAACATGCGGACAGCAATCATATATTCGCGGGAGATATTCGCCCATATGCGGCGGCTCCAGAGAAGGTGCCAGAGCATGATGTCTTACTTGCAGGTTTTCCCTGCCAACCGTTCTCTATAGCAGGTGTAAGCAAGAAGAACTCTCTAGGCCGTCCGCACGGATTTCTGTGCGATACGCAAGGAACGCTATTCTATGATCTGGCGAAAATTATTGCATACCATCGTCCGCCAGCCTTCTTACTGGAAAATGTAAAAAATTTGGAACGCCATGATGGAGGGAAGACGTTTGCCACCATCATGCACGTTTTGGAAGAAGAGCTGAATTATAAGGTTTCCTATCGTGTTATTAACTCAGCCCCTTGGGTGCCGCAGAAGCGAGAACGAATTTTTATAGTTGGGTTTAGAGATCACGATATTGATTTTGACTTTGATAAGTTGGTTGTTCCTTCTGGAAGTGGGCCAACGATAGGGGATATTTTAGATTCAGAAGTAGACCAGAAGTATACTTTGACCGATCATCTCTGGAAGTATCTTCAAGGGTATAAGGAAAAGCATCAAAAAGCAGGGAACGGGTTTGGATTCTCGCTTTTTGGTCGAAATGATGTAGCTCGTACCTTGTCTGCCCGTTATTACAAAGATGGCTCAGAGATTTTAATCGAGCAGATTGGGAAAAGGCCACGCCGTCTGACACCGCGTGAATGTGCGCGGCTTATGGGTTTTGAGAAGTTCGGTGAGAACAGTTTCCGCATCCCGGTTTCGGATACTCAAGCGTATCGGCAGTTCGGGAACGCGGTAGTGGTGCCAGTTGTCCGCGCTGTTGCTCAACTCATGAAACCTTGTATCGAAGATGCTTTGGTTCATGAGAATTATGAAATTCCTTTAGTTCCTCAACTAGTTCCTCAACATGCTATAGCAGCAGAATAATGCATGCGAACGTGGTGGTGAGGGCCTGTAACCGAGCTTAGTCTCTGGATCAGAGAAGGAACATTGGAGATTCATGGCTATGAAGCGCGGGCAACTTGCTGATTATTTTGTTGGTGTGGGGGTTAAACGGCTATCTGCTGTCGATGCCAATCCTAGCCGATCTAACCAGCATGAAATTGGTACGACGCGTGAGATGCGGAAGGAGTTTTTGGGAGAGACACACCAAGAAAAATTCAAGGCGATCTATATTTGGTTAGGTGAGGATCAGGACGGCTTCACGGCTGAAAGCTGGGCAACTCATTATGATGCGAGGCTCAAGAACCCTGATCGTGCGGCAGAATGGCGTCTTTATTATCCGCCGAATCCTGTTACCGAGACTATGCAGGAAGGCGATACGCTATTTCTCGCGAAAGATAGAGGGGGTGTTCTCTGGTTCATTGTCACTCCGTCCGGATCAACCAGTGAGCAGCAACTATTCTGGTTATTTGGGGTTCATCCACGGGGGCGTTCTTTCGTATCTCGGGAGGTGTCGGGGAATGAACCACAACTCGATTTTGCTGCGCGTTTTATCCTTGATGAGTTGGGTATCGAGTTCGAGGAACCGGACGCTGATAAGATTGATAGTATCATCGAGAAGTTTGGAACGACATTTCCACCAACGGCTGAATTTTCCCAGCTCGCACGTCTGACATTACCGCAGGTTTCGGCTGAAGATGATCCTGATGCAGCCTTGGTTGCGTGGCTTGACCATGAAGAGGCTATGTTCCGCCGCCTTGAACGTCGGGTCGTTGCCGAACGACTAGAACAGGGGTTCGTAACAGCTGGTGGAACGGATGTGGACGGGTTCATCAGCTTCTCCCTTGGCGTTCAGAACCGGCGTAAATCGCGCATGGGACACTCTCTTGAGAACCACATAGCCGCTGTATTCGATAGCTTCAGGCTTCCATATGAGCGTGGAGCGAGAACTGAACACGGTCACAAACCGGACTTTCTCTTTCCAAATGCTGTTGTCTATGGGGATGCCTTGGTAGGCGATAATAGGCTTCTGATGTTGGGTGCAAAGTCTACCTGTAAAGATCGCTGGCGGCAGGTGTTGGCCGAGGCAGCAAAGATTCCAAGCAAACACCTTTTGACGCTAGAACCTAGCATTACTGAATCCCAGACAAATCAGATGGCGGCAGTGAACCTTCAACTCGTTGTCCCTGCTTCTATCCAGAACACCTACAGTTCAAGACAGAAGATGTGGTTATGGTCTATGCGGCAGTTCATCAATGAGGTTCGGGCGCGTAATATTTGTGGATATTTTTGACTGCTAGCGGCAGGAGAGAGGGCAGGGGATGCACCACACATGACCCTGCCCCGACAAGCGGGAGGCTTACCTCAATCGTCATTCCGTCAAGATGCTGCATCTCGATCGTCGGTGATAGCCACGGATTCAACCTTCCGGCTTCCCTGAACGTCTTTCAGCCCATCCCGTATGACATTGTAAGCCTTGCTGGCGACCGACTTAGGGACAGGCGCACCAGCCTCGGCCAGCCGGGAAATCATACTGACAAGACGCTCCGCGTCAGACAAGTCCGCCACTTGTCTGACGGCATTGTCAGACGTATTTTCTCCCGGTTTTCTGACGCTTTTAACGTGTGAGCGAATGGCTCTGTCCAACCATTCCCCTATCGTGACACCCTCTCGTTTAGCCGCGGCAAGAGCGGCGTTTCTGACTTCGGGATGAACGCCGCGGATTGACCACGGTTTCGGATCGTCTGTCATGTCTGACTCCACTGTATGACTTGTCTGGCATGAGTGGAGCATGGGGAGCGTCTGTCTGTCATGTCTGACGTTTTTGTCGGACTTGTCAGACAGACTATGGTGGGGGGAACAGATCGGGTTGTGGGTTCTTCCTGAACTCAAAGCGAAGCCGTGAGACCTTTCGACCCGCCTTGATGGGCGTCCACTGGATAAGCCAGCCGTCTTTCTCGATCAGTTCTTTGACAGCGGGCTCGATGATGCGGCGACGGATATTGTTGAAATCGGCCTTCTGTTTCTCTGTGGCGTCCATCGAGGCGCAGAAATCCTCAATGGTATATTCGGCTATCCCACTGTCCCGATAGTGCATGAGCAGTTCCAAGAGCCGCCATGAGTAGGCTGATCGGAGAGCGTTGGCTTGTTGCAGCTTGTAGGTGGTGAACTGTTTTTTTAGCCCCATGAGTGATGGGAGAAGGTCAGGCCACCATGACAGTTCAACCCAACCTTCATTCTCATGGTATTTGCACCGGCCTACCCATCGCATGTCATTGCGGATGGGTTTGAGTGGCTTTCCGGCCCGTGTGTAGGCAGGCTCGAAAAAGGTGATTTTACGGTCGAACAGGTGCTTTGCCGCATCCTGTAGGGCTTCGTAGGCTGTCCTAGCATCAACGGAGAATGTTTCCGCATATTCGGCTGCCGTGATCTTGGTTCGTGGCACAAGTGATGTGGGGTTGGTGTCGGTGCCCGGCTATCCAGTTTGGATACGGCCAGCATGACAATACGCTTCTCCGCCAGCGTCAGGCCGTGACCTGCTCTTACGAGAGCATTGCTCATCGTAACTTGGGGGTCATGCTTGGGAATTACGGCGTATGTTTTGCGGCTTACTGCCGTTTTTGCGCTCAATTCCGTCACCTTCCGGGTTAATCCGTCTATTAATTTTCATGACGGAAATATCAAAATCAGTCAATTTTATTTTGTGACGGATTAACCCGGAAGGTGACGGAATTGAGGTGTGAGTAAGGGGTTTTTGGCCTGTGGATGACACCCGGAAAATGACGGATTAACCCGGAAAATGACGGATTAAACCCGGAAAATGACGGATTAACTGCTTGTATCTATATGAAATAAAAGGGTTTTTTTCATATAAACAAGAAGAAACAAGAAAAGAAAGGAAGCGGGTGTGGGCAACTGCTGTGAACAACACCCGGAAAATGACGCATTTCATGCCGAGACTCTCTCAGAGTGTTGGCGCCTTCGGCGGGCTACGCCGCTCCCGCTCTGCGCTCGCCCGACACCTGCACTGTCAGAGGAACTGGGTGGGAAAAAATGCTCAGGAAACATGAAGCAGGCCGGACGATCTTGCTTGAAGCCGTGCAGGCTTGTGCCTTAATAAGAATTATTAAAATCAACTAAGGTGATGCCATGAGCGAGAAACTTTCAGCCGGGAAGCAGATGGTCAGCGTGCAGATGCCCGCTGACCTAGTGGATGCAATGGATCGGTATGGGGAATCCATCGAGCGGCCCAGGTCATGGGTGATGCGGGAAGCCGTGGCGTCCTACCTCGCCTATGAGGCGGAGAAAGACCGAGCGACACGCCGAGCCTTGGCCGATGTGGATGCGGGCCGGACGGTCAGCGCCGAGGCCGTCAAGGCATGGGCTGACAGTCTCGACCAAGCTAACCCGCTCCCTCTGCCGGAACCCAAGCAGTGAAATATGAATGGACAGTCAAGGCCGTATCTGACCTGCAAACATTGACCGCAGACTTTGACCATCCGAGCGCTGCCGCGCGCGTCATGCGGCGGCTGACGGCAGCACCGGACGTTCTGATCCAGTTTCCTCGGATGGGTACATTGCTCCCGGTCTTCTCACCCCGTGAGGTCAGGCGCTTCATCGTGGACGACTATGAAATTCGTTATGAGGTCACAGCGGATGCCCTGTTCATCACCGACGTTTTCCATACCCGGCAGGATCGTGAGACGTTTCATTGAATGGTAGGCGCTACCCAGAAGTCTTGAAATATCTATCAAACTAGCCCGTAAATGGCTCAGGAATGGTGTGCGTGGGTGTTCTGGTGTTTTTCTTGCTAAAAAAAATAGGGGGGGTGGTGGTGAGTATTTTAGACCCCTTCAAAAAGATATAAAACACCCCCCCCTTTCTGGTCGGTTCTGATCTTGTAGCCTTCGATCTTGCACATGCCGAACGCTTGAATCTGCCCCACCCTGTCCATTTCGTAGGCTATGTGGCCTGATGGTGAGGATACGGCCCATTCCGCTAGAGCATCGCGCTGCTTGGCTTCCTGCTGCCCCTCAGCGAACCCTTGAGCGTATCCGGTTCGACTGCCCTTGATGTCACCCAGAAAGCCCGCGCAGAACACGAGCGCAATGGCTCCAAACCCGCAGCTGATGAGCAGGGTGCGTCTATCGGTCTTGATGTAGCTGGTGACGGCCTGCGCTGCGTCCTCAACACGTTGCGCGGCTTTGGTGCTTTTGGCGTCCAGTGCCTCAAGTTGCTTCGCCAGGGCTGGCAGCTTACCGGCAACGTCTGAATAGGTTTTATTCGACTGTTGAACGGTGTTCTTCAAATCCTCGAACGCACGAAGCCCTAAAATGTCCGTGTCGTCTGGATCACTCATGGTCAGCCCTCATTCTGCGCTTGTGCTGGTCGAGGTGTGGTGAACTCGTGATCCTGAAAAGCCTTTGTGTCCTGCTCTCGTGATAACCGCTTGAGAAGGGCGTCAATCACGTTCGAGAAGCGTTCATCACTTTCCGCTGCTTTGAGTAACGCGCCACCCAAGATGATTTTCTGACGGTCTTCAATTTTCCGTTTCTGCTTGTTCTCAGCATTACGGGCATCTTTCAGAGCATTCCGTGCCTGCTCAAGCCGCTTTTCGGCATCAAGAACTCTCTGGGACTTGGCGGGCTGGCTTGTAGTGGTCATGTGCGCGAAACTCCTCTTGAGTGTAGCCATACCACAAATTAAGGTTGCCTTGGAACCCTTCATGCCGATAGGTATTAAGGGCGCACTTATGCAAACTCTGCGAGTTTGCGTGCGACAGGGGCGAACCCCTTGTAACCCCGTTGTGTCAGCGAGCCGATTCCGTGGCAATCTTCCACCTGTCCGTTAAGACCGTATCGCGTAGCACCGGCAGGAGTGCTGTTGCCGCTGCGGCTTATCGAACAGCGGACACGCTGACCAACGAACGCGATGGACGCCAACACGACTACGCCAACCGAACCGGAGTTGATGATAGTTTCATCATTGCCCCGGCTAGTTGCGAGTGGGCACACAATCGCTCTGCGTTGTGGAACGCTGCCGAGCAGACCGAGAAGCGTTCCAACTCAGTGACGGCCCGTGAATATGTGCTGGCTCTTCCTGCTGAACTGGACGCCAGAGACAGGGCAGACCTTGCACGGTCTTTTGCCTCTGCCGTGGTCGAGCGTTACGGGGTAGCTGCTGATGTTGCCCTTCATGCTCCCAGTGCTGGTGGTGATGACCGGAACTATCACGCCCATATCCTTACCACGACACGGGAGGTCGAGCCGGACGGTCTGGGCAAGAAAACCCGCATACTGGACGCCGCCAAGACGGGTGGGCCGGAGATCGAGAGCCTTCGGGAATTGTGGGCCATGCAATGCAACGAAGCACTGGAGCGCCACCAGAAGCCCGCTCGCATTGACCACCGCAGCTATGAGCGGCAGGGCGTGGACGAAATGCCGACCCTGCACCTTGGGCCGACCAGCACCATGATGGAGCGTAGGCACAAGGCCGAGCAGGAGCGGAAGGGGGAGCCATACAAGCCCCAGACGTTCAAGGCTCAGGAGAACGAGCGCAGACGCACCCTGAACGACCATGTGCGGGAGATGGTGCGTGAACTGGCCGCCACCGTCAGGGAGGTGGCCGATCAGGTCAAAAACGCCAAAAAGAGCGCTGCTCAAGCCCTCCTGCGGGCCGTTGGTGGTCTGCGACAAGCGGAATTGGCCGAGCAGGCCAGACAGGCAGCAGAGGCCCGTAGACGCGAGGAAGTGCGCAAGGAAGCCTTGCGCCAGCAGGCACTCAAGGAGGCCAGAGAGCGGGCTGTGCAGGAAGCCAAGGGGCGCATGGCCGACATGACCAAGAAAGCTCAGAGATTGGCCCCAGATGCCCGTGAAGCGTTCCTTGCGGGTGAATATCCCTCAGATCCGTTTGACCGCGCCCTGAAGGCCCACAGGCACCCTCTGGGTACCGCTGGACTGGATGCCGAGGAGAAGGCCGTCAGGACGCACCTGAAGGTCTATCAGGAGCAGGAGAAGCGCCAGCAGGCCGAGAGGCAGCAGGCCCCAGCGCGAGGCCGTGGGCGTGGAGGCCCGTCCCGCTCCCGGTCGAGGGATTAC